TAAGACTGTCCCATCAACTTCCAACTTAGATATGGTGTTTTTCTTTCTTCTACCATTGGCTATTGCATGGAAACAAATTTTGTATTCCTATCTCCTTCCTTCACCCATTTGTGTCTAGATTTCTGCCTCCAACTTACTTCTTCTTTGAAAATTGTGTCCTCCAAGCTCTTCCTTAATTCCCACCTCAGTTCTTTATCCCGATCCCCAAAACATCCACTTTCTTCCTTCTAATTTAACTCTTCTATCTGGCTTATCAACTGCTGCTTCCTCTCTTCTATCCTCCCCAAATGTAGAGTATTCCATTCCTTAATTTTGATTTTCATCTCTTTTAGCTTCCAATGGAATTTCATCCCAGCCCAATTGACTTCTGGGTTACTTTCATTCCACCAAATTTTCACTTTGTCTTTGAAGTCCAGGTGAAGTAACCGCATATTTTCAAACTTGAAGGGAGAAGGCCCACTGCCACCAAGATCAGACTTACATATCATTATAGGCCAATGATCAAAAGTAACTCTAGGTAAGGCCCTTGACCCCAAATCTCCCCAATGCTCCTCCCGGTCTGTGGTGAACAAGAACCTATCTAATTTTGAGCAGATAGGTTCAGCTTGGAGATTAGACCAAGTAAAGCTATTATGAAGAAGGTTCAATTCCTTTAACTCAAAAGCATTAATGAAATCATTGAACTTCCTCATGCCGGTAGTGCTCCTTTGCCTCACCTTGTTACTTTCTTCGGTGAACCTAGTCACACTGAAATCCCCTCCTACACACCATGGCCCCTCCCACAGACCTCTAATATTTAACTCTAGAGTAAATATCAATGCACACAAATCAACTTGTCATGGTTGGTCCTGAGCTCATATTTGGGAGTGCTTATTTTTAAGCACTTATTCGAGGCTGGGGTCCACACGAAAATGCACTTAAAATGGCATTTGGTAAAACAAACACTTATTTTACCAATAAGTGCTTTTTCAAGAGAATACACCCGTTTTGAAGAAGCCCAAAGCTTATTTATTTATTTATAAGTGCTTATTGCATTTCTGGGCCCGACTTGGCCCGGCACCTAATTATCAAAATACATGTAACTACCCCTGTTTGAAAAAAAAACACCTTTTACCAAACCAAACACTTATAAGCTGCTTATTTAATAAGGACTTCTCAATAAGCACTTTATCCAAAAAATACTTATTTAAACATTAAGCACTCCCAAACRTGGGCTTAGTACTTATTCCCTAACTTTATGAACCTTCAAATGGTCTTTTTTTGTTATCTGGTTTTTTGATCATTAACTGATAATAATTTTATTAAGTATCAGAACTGTACAGTGTAAAATACAAAATGTAGAACCTCTTTACACACAAGACATGTTTATTGAGCTACCCCACAGCTGTTCCCCCACTGCCCCAATAGGCCACTTTTACATATAAAATTCTCTTTTGTCCCAGTGGATAATTACCTCAAATCATAAACTGTCCACTAATTACTAAATGAGCTAGGGAATCAGCTTAGCTGACTGGGTTTCCAGATAACCTCTGCTTCCAATGCATTAATTAAGTGTCTTGCTTCCCTAATTAAAGGTCTGAAGGTCCAAGGTCTTGCCATCTCCCCTAGCAGATTATAGATTTTGAGTCTTCTTCTACAAAACTTTGCAGGAGCCTGATGTGTAAGCCAACCATAGGTTTCAGTAAAGTGTTTCTTTCATGATTCCTAAAAGCACCACCTATGCCTGATTCCCTGGGGTTTCTAATGCTGCAGCCATGACAAAATTCAGTTTTATTCTTCCTCGTGATGGAGGGGTCCAGGCCCCAGGGTATGTTGGTTCTTGATCTTCCTGTTGAAGTTGATGCCACTAGAGACCAGCTACTGAGCATATCAACACTAAGAAAACTTCCAAAATCTTCTCTTCTCTTCATTCAATGAGTAACTCTGATTTCAATTAGGCCAATTAGTGACTCTGTGGATTCATATATGCCTTGAAAATCTTAGCATTCATTTTTGTCTTTGATTTTTTGACAAATTCTGGAATATAATGTTTTAGGGTCTCTATTCAAGTGAATTGGATGATTCACTTGAATCTTCATGGGCATGGATGCTGAAGTTCAAAGGCACAGTATACCCAATGGCATTTCAGGTAAGCTATGCTTCTGGATAGCACCTTTATTTAGATACCTCTTATGGCCTAATTAATTGCAATCTCTGTCTTCAAGATCGGAAGTGATGGGATTAGATTGCTAGCAGTGAAGTTTGTTGAGGCGATGATTCTTCTTTATACCTCAGATCCTAACAGTTCTTCAGAACCACCTCTTCATCAAGCCTGTGAAGGTAGTGCAACTTAGTTTGTTTTGCAGGGAATCTTCTAGCTGTATATGCTGCTAAAATAATTCATCAATTTTTTTTCTTGTTGTTTTGGTCTGGTGCCTGTTTTGCAGGAAAAATTGTAGGATTTGATATATCATGGTTGCGTGGGGGTCATCCGGTGCTTAACATTGGAGACTTATCAATTGAAGCCAGTCAAAGCTTGGGATTATTGCTTGATCAGCTTAGGTTCCCCACAGTGAAATCTCTCAGTAATTCAATCATCATTGTGGTTATTAATAGGTATGCAGTTTTATTTGCTTTCCTGTTAGCTTTGTGTTTGGTTGGCAACTTGGCTAGTTCATCTTATCTGGTTTCTCTTTATATTTCATTGATTAAGCATTAGAAATAGACCAATAAGAAAAATTAGTGGTGCTTATCACAAAAGAGACCATTGTCAGACACTCAGACCAGAATTTTAGTTTTTGAGAAAATGAGAACAGGATACTCATAATAAGCTTCGATGGATAGACATGGGGGAGCTCTTTTTGTAAACCTCTATAGAAAGTCCTGTGATGATTGGAAAGAGAAAAAAGGGAAAAAGAAGGAAAGAGTCACCACATTTGGTTCAAATGATCCAAAAGTCATTAGATGAAAAGACTTGATACCATATTTGAACCATTTCCTCCAAATTCTAGATAATGGGGGTTGGCTTAAAAAATTTTTAAAAGGCTTTTCTGAGAACCTGGTTGAGTTAGTAAAACAGCCAAGGTGGCCGAGGCTTCAAATGAGGATTATTTGGCTTCAAAAGAAGAGGTCACAGAAGAGATTTAACAGTGGCAAAAGGTGCTGACAAATGTAGGATGGATGTTTGTGGAGGAAAGATAGAGTGGGATAAAATGTTGGTGGTTGAAATGAAGGAAGAAGTCCTGGACTGGAAGAAGGTAGCCAGACGTGATAACATGGGGTTTAAGGCTTAAGGGTACCATGAAATATTAAAAAAAAAAAGGCTTAAGGGTACCATGAACTTGGAGAACCTGGTGAGTTGGATAGAAGATCCGGACTCAGTGATTTGGTGTTATAGAGATGAAATGAAGAAGTTCCAGTGGTTAACACAGCAGATGAATCTTAGTATACAATGAGTGGAGAGGGAGGCTAATGCATTGGCTGATTCATTAGCTAAGCAAGGGGTAATTAGGGATCAGTTGTATTGGGCGCAATTGAAATTACTGTGCTATCTCTGATTTAATAGTGAGGCTGCATCTCACGCCTCCCTTTGGGATGCTTGTAACAGTGCCTGTCCTTATTGATTTTTACTCTGTTTGATAAATGCAAAGTTCTTATTGACTTGGGTAGGTGAAATTTGACGCTATAAATTTGCTGATAAAAAAATGATGCTAAAAATTTACAATCGGGTTTTCATAACATTTTGGTCTCAAGCTGGTCCCCCATATCTAATGTGAAGAACCTTTTGTGGAAGATGGTGTTATTGTGCGCTTGGTTTGACTTCCATTTTGTTATGGTCCTAAATGGTAGTGCTTGACTTGCTGTGTTCCATCAGTCTTAAGGCTTTTGGCGTATTGGTCAAGCACATAACATTTGGTATCAGAGCCTACCATCACGCCTCAAGTTTGAGTCATGGAGAAGGCTACCTAGAGTAGAGTGAAAGCTGTCATGGAAAGGGCTGCTTGGAGTAGAGCAAAAGCCGTCATGGAAAGGGCTACTTGGAGTAGAGTGAAAGCCGGCAAAGGGAAAGGACTACCTACTGCTAGATTGAGAGCCGTCATGAAGAGGGCTACCTACCGCTAGAGTGAGAGCTGCCTAGAGTGAAGCCACCGAGAAGTTGGTTGCGAAAGCGTGGTGGTATGTTACGGTTCTAAATGGTTAGAGTGCTTGGCTTGACACGTCCCATCAGTCTTAAGGCTTTTGTCATATTGGTCAAGCACATAATACATCATTTCACCTGCTGAAACAAGATGTTTTTGCTTCCATTTTGTCGATCTTTGGAGGGCACCTTAATGGAGTTTTCACTTTGAACTTCACTCAGTGGCTATTCTTCTTAGTGGAGTGAAATTGGAGGATRTTCCCAAGAAGGTGGAGGTGTTAGCTGATTAGGTTTGTTTTTCAATTTGGTTGGTGACCTCCATTGAGGCAATTCTATGGTTGGAGGCTCACTGAGAGGAAGACCTAGGGGTTGAAGAAACTTATCTTCATGGTAGAGAGCGGTTGGGTGATTCAAATTTCCTGTAGATTTTCCAAAAATATAGAAACACAAGAGAGGTGTCATAAACGATGGAAGTTTAAAGGACAAGGATTATAACCTAGGGAGGGTTGCAAACTTGGTGTGCGACAGTTCATATATTCAAAGTGTTAGTGGCGGAGAAAAGGGGAAATTAAGAGCAAAGAAGGCTAAGTTTTTTGAGGAGATGGATGGCCATGGTTTTGAGTGCAGAGGTACTCTGGTTAATACTTTTGAACCAGGGGTTGTTGAACTGGAAGGGGAATGTTGTTATAAGTCTCGTGTCAGATGGGGCAGGTAGGCCGGTTTTAAATCAAAACGGGCCTTGTTTTGGTGGGTGTAGTAATATGGAGATAAATGTTAGGTTACATGGTGACTTATTTACCCCCATGAGAGGGGGGCAGGGTTGTGCAATGATAGATTGATCACTGGGTGGATCTATCATTGTCTACTCCAAGGGAATTATCAAAGACAAGTGTGTCTCAGCAAACCATCTAACATAATGGAGGAAACAAGATGAAAGCTTGGTTATCAAAAGTTGTTAAAGGAAAAAAAGGTTTTAGGATTCCAATGAATGAAAGCTTGGGTAAGAAGAAACCAGAAGTATAGGAATGTGTGAAACCAGATTTTCCTGGGATGAAAGATTGGACTCATTGAGAGGCATTGTGAAGCTTGATTCCTCGAGGGTAAGACTTGTGCTGGTGATGTCTAAATCTTTGGAGAGGCATGCAACAAGACCAATAGACTCAGAGGCTGTTGATCAAAACTCAGCAGTGGAAGAAGATGACAATCCTTGTTAGCAAGCCACTGAGGGCTGTAACTTATAAGTGTAGTTAAAGTTTGCAGGGGAATGGGGATGTGGATTGTAGGGTGTGGACCTTTAATCCTGTCGAGATCTTCACTTGCAAATCTTTGTTTAACTCCCTCAGTCCCTTGTAGCCTCCTCACCTTCCCCTTCTTTTTTTTTGATTGGCAACACCAAAAAAGATTTATTAATTATAAAAAGGAGTACAATAAGGTGTGGGCAAAGAGCAGGCCCAAAATCACTATCAATATTTACAAAATAGCCCAAAACATGGACTGTCTCTGGATTCGATGTTTAGCTAACTCATCTGCCATACTGTTTGCAGATCTCCTAATCCACTTTATTTGGATTATCATATCTTTAGAAACTTGCTTGAAACGCCTGAGTTCATTCTTTAACTGCCATATTACTCCTTCCCCCTTTTCAGCCAGTCCACAACAATTTTGGAATCACCTTCAATAATTAATCTGTCAATCCCCAATTCTTTAGCTTTCTCCACCCCATACACATCTGCCAACAGTTCTGATCTCACCACATCTCCATGCTGAATAGGTTCTGAAAACATAGCTAGAATATTTCCATTTTCCTCCCTGATTACCCCACCAATACCCAAAGGTCTAGGATTGCCCATGCAGCTGCCATCAAAATTTAATTTCTCCCATTCAGCTCATGGAGGTGACCCAACCTCAGTTTTTTTTTTTTGCTTCTAGATGATGGGTGAGCAATTGATCCCCATGAGCTAAAAAAATCTTCAACTTTAAAGACTGCAAAAAGCTTTAAGGTTTTCACTCAATGTGCCACCCTTAAGATTATAATCTCTAACACAGCTTCCTTGCTCCTTTCTTTGTCTTCAAAGATTCTTAAATTCCTTTCTTCCCAAATTGTCCATATCACTGCTGCTCTAGTGCATCTCCCCAAAATCCTGCCTCTTCTTTTAGAGCAACTAAAAAGATGAGAGTTAAATAATCCTTCCAAGTTATCAGGAGAGAGCCACCTGCAACCAAAAGATGAGGAAGGAAATATATGTGCTTTCTTCTCATGTCCAATTGAGCAAGGTGACGTGGCAACTGCAGAATCCTTGGCAGCTGTTTTTGGAGTTGAGTTTTGAAAGATCAATTATTGAAGGTGATTCCAAAATAGTTGCGGACTGGCTAAAGAAGGGGGAAGGAGTACAACCTTGGAACCTAACGAGTGTTCTCTGGCAGTTCAAATAGCTCTCTAGGGACATGTTTATTCAAGTTAATTGGGTTAGAATATCTATCAACAGCTTGGCAGATGGTCTAGTTAAGCAAGGGGTACAAAGAGAGACTATGTTTTGGGCTCAGTTGTAATAGTTTGGGGGGTTTAGACATCTGGTGTCTACTTGTCTTCCACAATTTTTTGTTGTWTTGCTTTCTTTTAATCTTAATAAAATGTTTTTTGAGTTACTGATAAAAAAAATTGTAGGGGCAGTAGGGGAAACAGCACTGAAGGTGGTCTTGAAAGTGATGCTTGCTCAACTAGTACAATCAACAAGGTTTTGCTTGTGGAGATTTTCTGTTCAGAGATGGGAAGACAAGAAGTTGGGTGCGGCTTTGTTGTGTGCTTGACCAATATGCCAAAAGCCTTAAGACTGATGGGACACGTTAAGCCAAGCATTTTAACATTTAGGACCATAACATACCACCATGCTTCCACAATCGACGTCTCAACGGCTTCACTGTAGGCAATTCTGACTCTAGTGGTAGGTAGACCTCTTCACGATAGCTCACACTTTGGCGGCAAGTTGCCCTTTCCCTTTTGTTTATTTCACTCTGCTCTAGGTAGCCCTTTTAGTGGTAGCTTTAACTTTGTTCTAGGTAGCCCTCTTTGTGATTCGAACTTGAGACATGATGGTAGGATCTGATACCAAATAATGTGTGCTTGACCAATGCGCCAAAAGCCTTAAGATTGGTGGAACACGTCAAGCCAAGCACTTAAGATTGTTGCCACAGACTCGGTCAAAGAAAAGGAGCTTAGTTCTTATCAGAAGGAGCTATTTTTGTCTGATGCGAAAGAGGGGAGGAAATTACAACTCGGGGAAAAAGAGGAGTGTGAATTCTCCAACGGTGATAAGAGCTCTTGTGGCAACAAGAAGAAGGTGGACAGTGGATTGTTTTCCAATGTGACTATATATATTATATCAGTTTTTCCAATGTGACTATTGGAAAGCTGGGGGTGGATTTAGGTAGGAAAAGAATTGGTAGTTTGGTTGAAGAAATCGGAAATGCTGATGCTTTATTGGCAAACTTTAAAAAACCCAAAGGGTCAAATGTTGTTCAATTAGTTCATGCCACAAAGATCTTTCATCGCTTGAAGAAGGTGGTCTCTTTGGATTGGTTCTTGTAGTAAGTATAAGAGGTATTACAAAAGAAAAGGTGTGAAGAATAGGTTGAAATCTCAGAACAATGCAAGAAACAATCTTGGCTTGGACTTGTCGAAGAAAGGTTTGGGAAAGAAGAAAGTACGGGCAAATTCAGATGTTCAATATCTATAAAAAGATTAGATGTTCGAAAGAAAGATGCAATATCTAATGAGGAGGAATCTAGGGGGGCTGAGGACAAATTAGAGGAAGAGATAGAACGATAGGAGGAAAACGGGGAGGTCTTGGATTGAGTTAAAAAAAGGAAGTGTGGACTTGGGATAAATAATAGAAACTAAAGTCCAAGTAAGCAAATTATTAATGTTATCTATTAATGAAGGGAAGAATTTACTAACAAACGTGTCTAGGAATTGGAAAAGATATATCCTTTGAACAAAGAAAGCTTTTGAGGGGAGGCCTGAATGGTGAAAATTGTTAGGGTCATTGTTGGGTTGGGGATCTTAGGGGGGGTCCACTAGGTTTTGAAGTGTCTTGGTTTTTGGCAGTGAGTGTTGTGTTTCTAAAATTTGGGAAAGAAGTCACCTCTCTGTATTTTCTTTTTCTTTAATAACATCATTTCTTTTTTATTTATTACCCCAAAACTACTGTACCTTTTATAAAAATGTACCCTTGACCTTAAGCACTATTTTCTTAGTTGGTTGACTGTGGAAACCAATTATTGCTAATCACAATTCACATTTTCCATATTGATGGACATTTCACCATGTAGAGATGGAGAAGTTTCAAAGTTATTTTTKCTATTTTCATTAAGGTATTTGGAAAATCTAAAAAGTCAAAAACGATTTCTAGAAACATGGAATTATGTAAGGAATCATTAGAATAAATATAATTACACATTTAAGGCTTAAAAAAAAAACATAGCAAAGAACTATATAAATCACATAGGAGAAAATTGAGAGACTTTAATAGGTATCTTTCTCTTTGTCTCCCTTTTAGACCCCGTTTGGCACGTCTTTCCATGTGGACTGTCGGCGGTTTAGAAGCCCGACAGCTTGCATTTTGGTTTTTTCCCGTTTGGTTGGGAGAAGATCTAGCCGTCGAAAGATCGCATCCCAAAAAGACACGAGAAGCCCGTTTTGGGCTAAATTTGGGAAGCTCCAATTGAAGCTTTCAACCTATTTTTCGTCTCGTCTTCACGTGGAAAGGCGTGCCTCCAACCAAACTGCCTGTGGGCTGCCAAGATCTTTATGTAAAAGCCCATTACGTCTTTTGGCTGTCAGAGCTTCCAGAAGATCTTTCAAAAAAGACTTGCCAAATGACACCTTAGTCTTTTATCCATCTTCTCTTTATTAAATATGTCAATTACTTGCCATTTTGGTTTTTTTTTGTTACTATATGTTTTGATTAATTTGAGAATGCTTATGCATTTTACTTCTTCTTTTGAATTTTAGTAAGTGAATAATATCAAAATAGTAAGCCAATTATACAATCACCAATTCCCTATGGTTTTAGGAAAATATTAAAAAAAATTATTTTAGCAACATATTTAAAAGTTTTTAATAATATTCTAATATTTTTTAAACATTAAATATATAGTCCATCAATAAAATTTGAAATATCCCAATTTGTAACATTTTGCACCTCTCTCTGGGGTACTTGTAACAGTCCTATCTTTTGATTAATGAATTATTTTTTCAGTTATAAAAAATGAAATATCACCAATTCTCCATGATTTATTTATGAAAATATTTTTAAAGAATTATAATGATTCTTGTAAAATATCAAAATTTTTTGATAATATTCTAAAATTTTAAACCTTAAATATATTGTCTATCAATGAAATCTGAAATATCATTGACATATAGGAGATATTTCGAAAAAAAAGATTCCTGGAAAATTTTGTATTGCCACCTAGAAAATTGGTGATATTTCAGGGATATTTCACCAAATATTTCCAATATTGAGAACCATGTTGCTAATAAGATAACATTGTCATGGGATGGTTGGAACACTGCAGCTTGTGCTTAGTTGCTTATGCAGAATATTCCTCTGCTGATATATTTACTGTGGTATATACAAGAATTGGGGACATGGGATCTGCAGATGGTTTTGGGCCCTCCATAAGGACATTAAACTTGCAAACTTCCCTTGTTTTGAGCACTGGGACCTTCCATAGGATGGGTCCTATCTAATAGATCAACTAGACAAAAAAGAACATGCATGGAAGAGCATAACAATTTGATATTGCTTCATTTGAATGAAAAATATACAAGTTTCACCTAAGTTAAAAAAGCTTTAGAAATAGTACAAGTCAGATGGTTATAATATATACATTATTTAATGGACTATTGATAATGGCTGAATTGAATGGCTTACTGTTTTGTCTTTTAGTGGATAAAATAGCCATATAATAAAATATTTGGGGGTATATTAATCAACCAATGTGCCATCAGCCAATAAGGAACTCACAACCCACTTAATGATTTATTGACTAAAAGACGAAGTGGTAAGTCATTCGGTTTGGCCATATAGGGGCCATCTGAAATGGCTAAACGGAAAGATTTTCTTCTGTCTTTTAGTCAGTAAATCATTTGTTCTTTCTTCCAAGAATTACCTCTCCCCTCTACCTTCATGACAATCTTGTTGACTGCTTTTCTTTTGCTTCTATATTCTATGTATTTGGTATTTGGGTTTTGTTTTCATTTCTTAACCTGTTCCTTATTGTGCCTGATTTTTTGCTTGCCAGTCTTTCAGTTATTGCAAAGAAAAGGCCTGCATTTTATGGGCGCATTTTACCGGTTTTACTTAGTTTGGATCCATCAAGGTCTGTTACCAAAGGGGTGCTGATTTCTGGTGCATATCACGCTCTGAAGAATGCTTTCCTCTCTTGCTTGAAATGTACACACCCTGGTGCTGTGCCGGTATTCTTTTGCCCTTAATTTCTGTATAGGAAGTATGCATTAGATGTTTTGTTTTCTTTTGTTTTTTTTTGGTATAAAAACTGGAGAGGTCCTTTCTCTCAATTGATGATTACTAATGTGACCTTACATGGACCTGCTTGTTGGTGATTACTCATTCTCTCATCTTGCTCATGCATTTTTATTTTTTTTGTTGCATTGTTAACATTGTTAATTAATTTTTGTGAATAATATTAAGTTTTTTTTTTCAAAAGTAAAAGTAAAACTATATTAAAGGAAAAAGAGAACTGATTACACCCAGAGCATGTGTTAAGGCAACACCCCATTGCACAGCTCAAACGAAAACATATACCAAATTAAACAGCTTACAGTGCAAAGAAAGATATCAACCTTGCACAGCACCGGAGCAACAATTAACCAAGACTCCTCCACTTGAGACTCTCTTCAGTCCTCCACCTCTACAAACTCTTCCTCCCCTCCTTCCTCATTCCAAATTTCTCCCCCTAATTCTTCAAAAGCTTTTCTTAGGTTTTCTTCTTTCTTTCTCCTCTCAAATTCTTCAAAAGTTCTTCTAGCAAAGCTCTTGCCTCCCAAGAAGAACAGGCCCAAAGACATGCCAATCTCCACCTTTCTATCAACTATTTGCTTAAGTACACACTTCCTTTCTTTGTTTCCCTCTTCTTTGGAAGCACCTTGACAGAAGCCCCACAATATCACCTGTCCCTTTTATCCTTCTCCTCTGAACCACCAATCTCCTCCATAACCTCTTCTTGAGGGACTGGCGTGCAGATCAATTTCCCAAACCCCTTTTGCAAAACACCATCTCGAAAAGAGGACTTTGTGGTTAAGAGGTCTGAATTTGATTCTTCTTCTCTTATAAATCTTATATTTTCTTAGTCGGCCCTGCCCCAACCAGACCTTCTTTCAGCCTCAAAGTGACCTTTGTGACGTGAGCAATGTTAAAATTCCCTGGGTCTTTGTTTTTCTTTGGTTCCTCTTTAGTAGCACCACTCTTGGTCAACATAGCCTTCTTCCCCTTGCGGCCCAAATCGACTCCCAGCTTTTAGACACCAAAAATTTGGCCTCACGCTCTGGCAAGTCAGATTGATCCAGATCAATGGCATCAAACACCACTTCACCCTCGCCTCCTATCAGATCGCAACCCAAATCCTTGTCACCTCCTTCTTCCTCCTTGGTTTCTCTCTCAACCACCTCCCCCATTGCCTTTGTTCCCACAACAAGTGCATCCCCAAATTCCATTTCCACCCTCTAGTACATCTAGAACATGTGTCTTCAACATTGGCCCTGCTCTCATGGATCGACACCAGAGCAGGAGTATAATCCAACGGTTATGAATAAGGATGAGACACAGAATTGTACCAGATTAACTTACCTTCAGAATAGTACTTTGGTTTTGACCCAGGCTTAGAACATCGAGCTTTTTCGAGAACACTAGAGCTTGCAAACTTCAAGGGATCACTGGACAAACCTTCCTTCCTAAGACTAGAGCATTCGGAGTTAGGAACTACCTGATGACATTTCTTGCTCCTTGGTTCCCTTTTACCTCTTCCTCTACGATGGGCACCATGTCTTTAAAAGCAAAAGAAGTTTTAACACCTAAACAGCTTTTACTGAAATGCCTCCCAAAGTGGGAACCACCCAAGTCAAATACCACATTACCACTTCCCGGTTTTTAATGTGGGCCCCAGGAAGCTTCCTAACACCTCTAAAGTTCCATCTCGACTGTTCATTTTCGTCACTCGAAGATTTTGATAGTATCCTCTTTCTTGAGCTCCCCCACCTCATGGCCCCCATTAAAAATGTCTCTTTTTTCATTCCCTGAAATTCCATTTCTACTCTCGACTTCCCAAGTTCCTCTTCTCCAACCTTTGAACGACTCTCCAGCTCCCTGACTCTTCCGCTCCCTTTGTCTTCCTCCTTCATCCTCCTATTCACCTGACCATTCAGCTCCCCTCCAATCTCAACTTGGTTGTTAAATGCTTGAGCTTGACCAAGCAAATCCGACACCATCTCAACGAACGAGTGTTGCGGGATACAACCTTCAACCACCAACCTCAAATCATACCATTCCCTTGCAAAATTTAAAGCCAAGCATGCCAAGACCAGGTGAACATCCCCAACTTTGATTAGGATTCTTGCTACTACCAATTTCTCCAATCTATTAGTGTGAGCATCAACCTTTCTGAAACAACCACAGACGTTCCCCATAGCGCGGAACATTTGCAGATTCCGGGCATGAATCCCAAAGACATTATTCCACACCAGGCTCCTAGACCCCCATTCTTGCTCTAGGACCTCATCTGCCTCATCCTTGCTGCTCAAGATGAAGATAAAGAAACCTGAATTAAGCTTTCTTAGTTGAGCAAATTCTTTCAAGCTCCACTCCCATCTGACCCAACTCAAAATATCCTCCTCATCTGGCTCAGAATTAACAAAATGGCCAACTAAGAAACTCTCTAACCATCTTACCCTTTCAGGCACCCCTTCACACAAATCAATGAAAACTTCATATCAAGTTTAATGAGAGTTAAGCAATCTCAACATCTATCTGAACGAGATGTTCACTCTGGCATCTGGATGCAAAGCATATTAGCATCGTTCAATTTTACTAGTCTATATGGCGAACTTTTTGCTCATTACTGTCCCTCTTAATAGAAGCCAGTAATGCATAGGCGTGTTTCTCTCAGCCCTGGGAAGAAAGGGACAATATCTTACAGGCTATCCTTTTTTGGGAGGAAAATCAAATGATGAAATTGGTCCTTATAAACTGGTTATGCATTTTTCTGGAGTTTTGAAAAGGGATGCCATTCTTTTCATCATGACTTCAGATTTTTGTTTTTTTCTTGCCATCTTGGGAATGCTTTTCCTTTTCCTCTCTGAGTGTCTTTCTTTCATAAATATGCTACATTTGTTACTAACTAAAGATGGAAAAAAGTTATGCATGCTTTCATGCTTGTAGGGTCTTATAATCTTAGCCCTTTTGTATCCATGTGGGAAGCAAACAATTATTAAACCAATTCAAAAAGTAAAAAGGAACAATTATCAAGAGGAAAGAGAACCATGTTTAAAAGAAAAATATTTCTCAGCTGCTCCATTCGTGGCATAATTAATAAATCCATTGTACATCTTTTCATCTATTGTACCTACCAATATTATCTGGTCTTTTTCTTGTGCATTCTTCAAAAGAGAATGGCTAGTTCCATGGAACTTGTGGTCCTTGCCATCTTGTGGCTGAGAATTCTGCAAACAGGGTTATCATAATATAATTTGGAATATTTTATCTTTTGCACTATGCTGGTGCATTTGGAAGGAACACAATTTGCACAACTTTGTAGGGAGGATGCCCTATCTGGAAGCAGTTGTAAGGAAAAATTAAAAGAGAAATGGTTTTATTGTTGTCTGTTTTGAAGGGATTTGAGGGTTTCAACTTAAAATGTTTTGGTAACCATTTTATTTCAATCGTTTTTAATGTTTTTTTTTGGATTCATGAATTATGCCCATTCTTTTACATGATCCTGTCTTGTCATTCTGTTCTGTTAAGTGTCATATCCATTGTTAAATTTTGAGCGCTAAAATCATTTCTTACTACAATCTATGTCCTTTTTAGTCTGCCCCTAGCCTTTCTAGGCCCTTGGATTTGCTGCAGATCGCTTCTTGCAGGTGCATGATTGGCTGATTAACCATGTAAAATCATTTTGTAGAGGGCTTCGAGCTTCCTTCATTTTTGAATATTGCGCTTAATATAATTACCATTACCCGTTAAAGAATATTGATTGACAATGCTACGAAATCGTAGTAAATGCTAGGTGGTGTTGGTATCCATTGGAGATGGTGAACAGCCCGAAGTCAGTGGAGTAAAACAATAATGGCTAAATATGGCTAAAGAAATTTGAATTGGGATTTGGGAGAATCCAGTTTGCCCTATGGATGTGTAGTGTTGAGGGGCATACTGGAAGTATGCATGGTTTATCTGCTAACTAACCCTTTTCCTCTCAATTAACAAAAACCATTATGAAATAGTCTTCAAAATAGCTGATCTACACTCACCCTTTGTTTGGCCATTGTGCTTGCCAAGCTATTTGCCCATCCCAAATAGTTGTGGCAAGGTTTTTCTGAGTTGACTGGGGCCTGGGGGAATGCATGCTTTATTTGTTTATCATCATGAGTGATGTATGGAAAGTAACTTTAGTTTTTTCTAGACAAATCCTTTTATTTGAAACCTTAGTTTCGGGAAGACAAAACTTCAAATAAAGTATTGGTCGAAAGGATGAAGAAGGTGGTGAACTGTGTAATATCTGACAACCAAATTGCTTTCGTACCGGGAAGACAAATGCTTGATTCAGTTTTAATTGCTAATGAGTTGATAGATTCTAGAAAGAGAGAGGGAACTCCAGGACTAGTTTGCAAACTGGATATTGAAAAATCCTATGACCATGTSAATTGGAGATGCTTGGATTTTGTGTTGGAAAGGGTGGACTTTGGGAAAAAATGGAGAAGTTGGATGAAAGTATGTATATCTACTCCCAAATTTTCTATTCTTATTAATGGACAATGAGCAAGGTTTTTTGAGAGCTCCAGGGGGCTGAGGCAAGGAGACCCTCTTTCTCCTTCGTTGTTCATTTATGTTACTGAAATTCTCACTCTTTTTAGCTTGAGAGCTGCAAAGTCTGGCTTGTGGGAAGGTTTTGCAATCAAGCCAGGGGGTGAAAAGGTCAACATTCTACAATATGCAAATGATACACTTTGTTTCATTGATGCCTCCCCTATGCAATTGGAAACACTTCTTGGGATTCTCAATTGGTTTGAAGTTGACACAGGGCTGAAGGTTAACCTTAATAAAAGTTTGATAATTCCAGTGGGACAAGTGCCTAGTGTGGAGGAGTGTGCTAGTTTGATGGCTTGCTAGGTGGAGTTCCTTCCTGTCAAATATCTGGGCCTTTCCCTAGGTGCTAAATGTATGTCTCCGCTATTTGGGATCCAATTGTTGAAAGAGTGGAGAAAAAACTCTCTTCCTGGAAGGCCAAATATCTTTCCTTTGGGGGTAGAGTTACACTTTTGAAAAGCACTCTGACTAATCTTCCCACTTATTTTTGGTTCCTTTTTTCCCATTCCATCTAAAGTTGTTAAGAAATTTGAAAAATTACAAAAGGATTTTCTCTAGAAAGGTTGGGAGGAAGAGAAAAAATTCATCTGGTCAAGTGGGATCAGATATGTCTTCCCATTGAGGAAGGATGGCTAGGACTAAGGGAAATCAAGAACTTTAACCTGTCTCTCCTTAGTAAGTGCATTTGGAGATTTGCAAAAGAAAGAAATGCCTGGTGGATAAATCTGAATGCAACTTAATTTGGGGTGGCCAAGGGAGATTGGAGATCTTTGGACTACCTCCCAAACTGGGGCTGTTTCATTTGGAAGGGCATTATGAAATGCTTCCCCTCTTTTGGTGAAGGTCTAATCTTCAAAGTTGGTAAGGGAGACAGAACCAGATTCTGGAAGGATTCTTGGTGCCAGGAGAATTCATTGTCTGAGTTCTTTCCTCTTCTGTTTAATTGTGCTGCAAATCAGGATGCCTTGGTTGCTAATTCATATTCCGACTCGGAGAAGGGGGTAACTTGGGCTCCTCAGTTTCAAAGGAATTTGCATGACTGAGAATTGGAAGTGGAACAGAGGTGGGTGCTTTTCGGTTAAATCTATGGCTCTCAAGCTTAATAGTTCAGGTGCTGTGAACTTTCCAAACAAACAGATTTGGAATCAAATTAGCCCTTMAAAAGTCAACTTCCTATTGTGGGTTATGGCCCTCAACAAATGTCTTTCTAGAGTCAATTTTGTAAGAAGAGGAGTTCAAGTATCAGACATCTCTTGTGGTCTGTGTGATCAGCAGCCTGAAACTACAGATCATCTATGTTTACACTGCCCAGTAACTGCCCAGGTGTGGCTTCACTTTCTTAGTGCTGTGGGGGTTCGTTGGGTTATGCCGAATTCTGTCAAAGATCTCCTATGTTGCTGGAAAATCAGGGGTTTGAAGAAAAAAAGGAAAGCTGGTGGTGGAAGGCCATCCCCGCAGCTGTGCTTTGGGCTATTTGGAATGAAAGAAATAGCAGAACTTTCAGCAACAAAAAGAAAAATCCTGATGAGATTGTGCAGTGTGCAGTCAGTAAGTTGGTGTCTTGGGTTGCTGTTATTCCAGTATCAATCATGTAAATGTATTCTAGGAGCTCAGACCTCAGTCCCTTTGGCGGCTGTAACTTCTGTTATTTCTAGTCATTCCCATTGTGGACTGACTTCTTCTGTATCTTTTCTTCATTCTTCAATAAAATTACTTTACCTTTCAAAAAAAAAGAAGCCTTAGTTCCTGTTGATTCTTTCTATACAATTTGAAAAATTTACCATTAGACAGTTTTGGACTCTAATCCCTTGGTTCCCACACTCATTTTATTCCAAGTTTGACTGCTATCACTCTTTGTCTATCTGTAATTCATAGTTTTGCAAAATTTGTCTGCCACCACTGTTTATCTCTTTTTTATACTTTATCTTGTCAGTTGAACTAATAATTAATTTTGAATTCTTGATGACCTACAATATACTTGATTTTTGGTAAAAATGCACAATGTATATTCTGTTTCAAATATTTTGTGTTTATATGAGCAACTCATCTATCTTGTATTTGTTTGATGTGCAGTGGCGGGATCGTCTGGTTAGTGCCCTTAAAGAAATGAAGGCAGGAGAATTGGCAGAAGAAGCTCTTCAACAAGTTAGAAAGCTTAGTGGACATACAGAAGATTGGACATGTGAGTCGTATCCCATCAAGGTAACATCACATTTGTTTCAAATCTGGCTTTGTTGGCAGGATTATATTTTGCATGCATTATATAGTTATGTGTACATTTAAATGGGTATGTGTCTTTTTTCTGAGTTTACTGGTAATTAGAGGGTACACTTACAGGAAGAGAAGCCTTTAATGAAAGCATGTGATGCAGCACTGATAGATCCGGGGAGGAAAAGACCCATTATTCAAGATATCAGTGATATGGTAAAAGATGAAGAAGCATCTGGCAAACGAGCCAGACCAACACCTACTGTCTCGGAGGAGTCCACTAAAGAGCCACAGAAGAAATCTGATTTAAACCAGGATGACAATCCTTCGATTGGATCAAGGGCTTCCACTGGAGATGGACTTACGGGACCTGTGCAGCAACTTGTTGCTATGTTTGGTGCCTTGGTTGCACAAGGAGAAAAGGCTGTTGGATCCTTGGAGATACTTATTTCAAGCATCTCTGCCGATTTGCTAGCTGAAGTAGTAATGGCTAATATGTGTCATCTTCCGTCAACTTGTCCAAAAGCTGATGGGGATGATGAGCCTGTGATAAACATTGGCTCTGTCTTAAGCATGGTTGGTGGAAATACCTCACTCTTACAGCCATCATTGTCAGATGCTTTTTCACTTTCTAGTGCATTACCGAAGATTGCATCACTGTTAAATGCTCAACCATCAATATCACTTGATGTAGTGGTATGTTATTTCTTTGGTTTTCAATCATGTTTTTTTTTTTTTTTTTTTTCTTTTTTTCCATGTTCCAAGGATTATGTCTTGGCTGCTTTTCTCTCAGTTTTGCTTTTCTTTTAAGTTGAACCAAATTAGTTCTGCAATATTGAGAGTTGTCCCTGTTTTCCCATAAATTGCAGAAACCTCAATGGGAGGATGAACATCAAACAGATGCTATAACTGATAGTGCTTCGTTATGTGTAGTAAATGATGTGACTGAAGCATCAACTCCAATTAGTGAATCGGTTTCTTCTGATGTTGTAGTTCCATCTGGAGTGGAGAAGAGCAGTTCAACTATTCTTTCAGTGATACATGATATGGGGAATCTGGATGGTGAGATACCTGGTCTAGATTCTGCCACCCGTAGTGATGTGCCTGAAACACTAGATGCTTCTCATCTGTCCTCCACTGACTTACTAAGTGCAGATCAAGAGCAAGTTACAAGTTCTGATAGAATGCCCATTATGGATAATCCTTTGTCTGGTTGCATTCCAACTGGGTCTGAGGAACTAAGCCCAAAAGTGGCCATTGCAGATTCCAATAGTAGCATAATTCATGCAACAGCAACTTCTGTGAGTTTGCCTAACCATTATGTTCTTCCTAAGATGGCTGCACCTGTAGTCATCCTTACTGATGAACAGAAGGATCATCTGCAAAAATCTGCATTTTTGCGCATTATTGAAGCTTACAAACAAACAACAGTATCGGGAGGATCACAAATCCGCTTTTCTTTGCTTGCTTATTTGGGTGTAGAGGTAGTAAACCTAAATGAATCTACTGTCTTAAATTTTATATTAAAGTTTGATATTTCAACATTCTCTTAGCTTTACTTAATGTTTATTGGTATTTAGCACTTTTGTATTTTCTGTTGGTTTTGGTAATAAAATAAAATTTGCTGTTATTGGCTATACTTATGTTTATTAGCTTTACTTGATGTTTTTTAGCATTTAGCACTTTTTGTATTTTCTGTTGTTGGCTTTTATATGCTTATATTTTTGCTCAGGATTGAGCATTAAAGTAGATATTTTAGTATCTCTCTGTTTTTAGTCACTGATAATGGCTCTAGCTTCCAGATAAAATGAAYTTTTAGCTTGTGGACGAAGTTTCTATTAAAGTACTTTTTGGGTTTGTTTACATTCCACACTTGTTAAAAACAATTATTTACTTTCAACAATTGTTGTCAAGGCATATTGGTGATTCTAGGTGACTAAAGAGTGCCTTATCAATCATTTATTTGCCTAGATGTCTGCTTAGAACAACCTAAATGATGGATTTCGACCAAAACAAGGATTTTCAGAATGTTTTTCTTTGTTGACAGTGAGCTTGCTTATCCCTTTTTATTGCTGTAAATTGAAAGAACAATAAAAGGCAGGTAATGGTGTTAATATACTAAATCACTAGTTCTTTCAGTTAATTTCAATATTGCATACAAGATACAACATGCAATACAATCAATTCTTGTATGGAAAATTGGTAGTGTAGTAATAAACCAAGCAAATAAGCAATATAAAGTTCAGAACACATACAGATTTAACCTAGTTTTTTATGAAAGGCATATAACAACCGAGCTTAACTTTTGTTTTCTTTTATTGTTGGGCCTAAGTTATATTTGGACCATCAAAAACATTAAATATCAACAGTATTTTAATAAAAAATAAAATTGTACAAAAAGAAAAAAGGGGATAAAGCCCCTGTTCTAAGTAAAACGTTCTCCTCTTGTCTTTCTTCTCCTTCTCTTCTTCTTGCTCTCCTTATCTCACTTTGCTCAAAACCCTAGTATGTCTTGGAGTTGCTTTGTCTTAATTCTCAACCACAAGCATACAAACCACTTGATCACCTGTATGAACACCCAAACTATTAAACTACAACAGATGTTTTAAAGTGCCTGTGTTGTTATTTTGTATTGTCCTACTTCCTGCTTTATAGATTTATAGTGGTAAGACTCCATCTTGTCCAACCTTTTGGGTGTTCCGTTTGGAGATGAATTAGTAAAGTCTTCCTAGATTTGTTAAAGGTATAGAGTACATTATCCGTGGTGTGGACTATTTGGGAGGAAAGGAATGCAAGAATTTTCGATGAGAAATACGGGTTGAAGGAGGTAATTGTGGAGACTATAAAAATAAAAGTTGCACATGGATAAAAACCCTTGATCTTGTCCAAATCTTTGTAGTGGTTGATATAATAATGGCGTTGAATGAAGTGGTACATTCTTCCAAAGAAAAGGAAAGAAAGGTAATGGAATGGAAGCCCCCAGCAAGTAATAAAATGAAACTAAATTTTGATGGGAGATCCATGGGAAATGTGGGAATGACAGGTATTGGTGGTGTGTTTAGAGACTCTTCAAGTGGTGATGGCTGTGTTTGGGACCTATAGGGGTAGGAGATTCACTGAAGGCTGAACTGATGACATTGTTACAAGGCCTAAGATTTGCTAAGCAATCAAACTTCAAAAACTTTGAAGTTGAAGGGGGTTCAAAACTGGTTGTATCCTGGACCACTACTAGGCGCAATGAACTTTGGATTTATAGTAATGCTTTAAGGGAAACAGAAAGCCTGTCAAGGGACCTGAATGCCACTTATACATGGGCAAGAACTGCAAATGGGCAGGCCGACATATTAGCAAAGCAGGTGGTCTATAGGCAACAGCTTTTTTTGGAATTAATGTAGCTTTTTGTTCTTGGGCATTGTTCTTTCTGGTTTCTGTATCTTTATTTGGGTGACTGGACACCCACTCTACTGTAACTTTGCTTTCACATTAATACAATTAACAATTTTCTTGCTGATAAAAAAAGGTATAGAGTACATTGATTTATTGATTGGGAATGGAAGAACAGCTTTTGGAGGGATGTCTGATGTGCGGATAGGCCACTCATAGAGGTGTGTTTCCAAGCCTATTTCAAGTTGCTGTAAAAAGAAATTTATTGGTAGCTGATTTATTACCTGGATTTTTATCAAAATGGATATGTGTGGAGTCCAAAATTTAGGTGGGACTTCAATAACTGGAGATTGAAGAGATGGGGTATCTTTTCTCTCTTTTATACAGGCAACAACCATGCAACAGTAGGCAGGACTCTAGGATCTGGTGACGGGACCTGAAGGGCTTATTATCCACCAAGTCACTCTTCTTTCAGTTGACCTGAGAGGATGGGGCTGCTTTCCCAATGAATTATGGTGCTGCTTTTCCTTCATTACCTGCTGATCTATGAATTATGGTGTCACTTCATGGTCATGGATGGCTGCAAGTCTGTTCAAGAATTTTTTTTTTTTTTTGAGAAAACTCTTCAAGGATATCCTTTTTTGCTCTATAATACATAATCCTTGTATCTAGCAAGGTTTAAAATGTCGATGTCGATGGAAATGTCGCTTACCAAAATATAGGACATATGTCGGAAATGTCGAGGAAATATTGTAAAAATTAGAGACATTGTGGAAATATTATGAAATATGTGGAAATATGCAATGATATTTTGTAAAATGATAAAAGAAGCATTAATACATRTTTCTAGACTAYTATCWTATTCCCAACCATTATATAAAGCTAAGAAACTAAGATCAATAACAAMTTAGTRAATGRYRATTTACTGATTTATTATGCATTTTGATGTTTTTACAAGGTTATCCGATGTTTTCTTTTCTTTTTTTTAATTTTGATTTATTATAAATTCTAATATATTTATTTCACACTAGTAAATAGAAATACATTTATTCTGATTTTTTAAATATTAAAGTTATAATATATTATGTTTTATTATAAATTTAATAAGCTGATTCTCCTTTTTGTAGTATTAAGTTTATAATAAATTATGATTTAGTATAAAATTTAATAAATTTATTCTGATTTTTTATATTAAATTTAGAATATGATTTATTATAAAATTTAATAAACATTTTCTGATTTTAATAAATATTTTAAAAATACTAACTAGTTAATATTTTATCACTTGAAAATTATTTTATGTTTTATATTATAAAGTAATTAATTTATTCTTTTGTTTTTATTTTTGTTTACTCTTTTTTATAAATATTTTATTTGAAATATTAAATAGAAATTAATAATGGAGTAATTTATATTAATATACTGTATTATATTAATATAATATACTAACATATTGTATTATTAATGTACATTGATCGACATCCTATCGACGTAATAGAAAAACTGTCTTTTTTTTGGTTATTTGGACCGATTTGGTCGACATTTCCAAAGTATAGGAAATGTCGGCTGAAATAATGTAATTTTTATATTACCATCCATTTTCATGTCGGCGAGCCTCGACATCGACATATGTCGGGTGACATTTGCGAAATGTCGCGACATTTGAAACCATGGTATCTAGATTTTTCTTTTCTTGTGATGTGGATCTCTTCACTGTACTTAGAGATACAAATGTATGATGTATCCTGATTACATCATTAATACATTACCATTTTCAAAAAAAAAAAAGAAAGTCTCCATCTTGTCCCTTTGTTTATTTGGTGAAAGTCTGAAAATTGTTACTTTCTTTTCTTAATTTTTTTTGCTCTTGTTATATTCATCCTTTTTTAAAAGCCTTGTATAGAATGCACTCATCGTCCATTTTCCTTTGTGGGCAAGATCCTCAACCTCCAATATCTCATCAGTTCGAAAGGAGGAAGAAGTTCTAGTTGCCATGTAGGAAGATTTCCTGTTAGAAGTTGTTTTTCCCATTTAGTTGCATGATCATGTGATCTTTGAGCCAACTATATGAGGCCATAGGAATTCCTTTAGGGCATCAAATAATCAAATTACCTTATCTTCTTTTCTCTTTCAGTGGTTTAGGAGGATGAGTCTCCCTYGAAGAGGCTCCTGTGGTGAGTAGTACTCACCAGATTGGTGTCAAAGCTTGAATTACAGCCATGCCTCAAACCAGATCAGCCTCTACAGATGATTGGATCAACTAGGTGGAGGTTAACCTCAACTAGGTGACAACGGAACTTAAGGAACTTAAGGCTGCAATCTCCGCTCTGGTTTCTCAATAGTCGACAGGGGAGTCTAACTGAAAGGATGGTGATATAGAAGGCTCCAACCACAACAGGTATTGGATGGGAGCACCACCTTATGAGAAGTTAATAAAGATTAATTTCCGTACTTAATCTAGTGGCGATCTAATCCCTTGGATCTTCAAGGTGGAGGTTCTTCGAGTATCATGAGGCACTAGGGCATCAGAGAGGTGATTTATGGTTTTAGTGGTACAAAAGGTTTCATCCTTAGGTTGGTTGGTTGGAGTTCACAGAGGCTCTTTCTATGCACTTCGGACCTTTAGGATATGAAGATTATGATGAACAACTCTTCAGGCTGAAGTRGACCGGCTTCTTTAGGGTTTACTTGTTGGAGTTCGAGTGGCTTGCTACTTGGGTGTTCGAATGGCCAGAAAAGGCTTTGGTGGGATGTTTTATCGGAGGACTGAGGGATGATATCCGCATGGAAGTGAAAACTATACAGTTGACCACTGTTTTGACCATAAGTGGTTTGGCCTAGCTCTAGGAAGAGTGGCTCGACCAACTAAGTTGGGTTAATTGATCCTTGGTTTCTATCCTTAAGACTCCACCCAAGATCAATCCCAGTGGAGATTTGGCTAAGCCCATGGGAATTAGGCCCAACATGCCCTTTAAGCACCTCTCCTAGGCTGAGATGTAGACCTGATGGGAGAAGGGGCTATGCTACAATTGTGATGACAAATTTGGGCCGAGGCACATGTGTAAGGCCAATCAAGTTTTCACTATGCAATTGTATGAGG